GGGATCAAATATGAACTCAGAAATAGCATCCTGTTGATTGCTTGGTAATAATGATTCAATTCTTAAATACTTTTGAAATATTTACTCAACTTCACCTATAAAATGTTACTATTGCTGAGAAAAAGACTTTCTAAATTTGCATTTAATCATTCTAATAAACATGAGAAGTGAATGCTGGTGAGTATCCATGTAAATGACATTGCTGGGAATGCTGGGAATGCTGGGAATGGCTGCTCTGTGTTAGAGTAACAGGGCGTCTGTCAGTTTGAGTTGTTGGGTGACATCCAGCTGCAGCAGGTCTCTTTCAGGGTTGGAGAACATTTGGAGGAGCCAGAGTTGATCTCCAGCTCCGGCCATGAATGTTCCTCTATCCTCCTCCGCTGCTGAGCGGACGTTCTCTGATATCAAGCAAATAAAAATACATGCCAGGAATACAGCAGGACAGAAGCTTCTCATGCTGTGTTTGTACAACTAGAATCTAGTAACTACATGCATTTGGGTTTTGGCTTTAGCTCCTTTTCTTTTTGTCCCCCTGCAGGTGAAAAAACATCCTGTTGCTCCAGTTTACGTCCTCAACCTTCTGATCTCGGATCTCATCCAGCTCTGCAGCAGAATCCCTCTGATGTTACACGGAGGCTCTAATGTCTTTTTATGCTTTCCGGCTTGGCTTGATAACCAGTGTTGGATTCATGATGTGTGTTTCCCTGGAAAGGTAACTATCTGCATTTCTTCACATGTGTGTTTCTGTCGTACATCAAAGCCAACCACATTTGTCTTTGATTCCAGGTATCTGATCGTTGCCAAGCCGCTGTGGTACAGATTTAGAAACAACCTGACGACGTCTGTGTTGGTCTGCGTTGCAGTCTGGATCCTTTCTGTTATTTTTATCTTCAGCGTTTATCTTCCGCTGGAACTAAAGACCAGTGGAACCATATTGGGTGTGTTTCTCCTCCTCCCTCTTCCCTTGTTCATCTTCAGCCTGGTTGGGACCATTAAAGCTCTGTCTGAAAGTCGCAGTGTTGCTGCTGAGGAGAAACATCGAGTCTTCTCAGTCCAGGTTGTGGTGTTGCTTACATATATATTACTTTTTCTGCCAGTTATATTGTGTTTAGTTTTGGAGGAAATTAGGGAAAATGTAATTTTTCAAGCTTTGGCTACAGTTTGTCAATGTCTAAGTCCTCTTGCAGACTCAGCTTTGTATGTTTTTCTGAGGAAAAATGCAATTGATAAGATTTTAGCTTCACTGTGTTCCTGTAAAACATCTGAGGATCAGCAGATCAGCAGCACTGATGATGATAACATGTCTGATCTGCACACTACAGCTGTTTAAATATTGTATATTTATTCACAGATGGATAAATATATTTACATCTTACTTTCTCAGACTATTGTTGTGGATTTCTTGCAGAAGAGATTGCTTTAATTTGATATATTCTGAATTCTTCATGGTTCTTTTATTAAAACCCAACAACTGAAGAAATTAAAAGCTTCACAGCTTTTGTATTTCAGAGACTGAGTGCCTTTCCATTTACCTTTAAAGCCCAAAGAGCCTTTTATTAGAGCTAAAATATGTAGAGGTCAGTCTGGAGACCTGCCTCTTGACACTAACACTGATGTTAACATCACTATTTAGCTGAATATAATGACGTTGCTGTTAACCGATGCTAATCCTTGACATGACCTTTGACCCCAGTTTGTTAGAGGAATGATGTGCAAGATGAGCAAGAATATTATTTTCTTTTCAAAAAAGTTATTTGTGAAGAAAATGAAAGCCTGATATTTTAGGTACATAAAGACATTTTTATTCATTTTTTTCATAATCGCCATTTGTTTCTGTCGTTGTGTATCTTTGTTAGTTGTGAATTAAATATTCCTGATTTAATATCATGATATTTCAAGCTTTTTAAATTTTAATTTAATTTAACTTTTGAAAAAGTCCCAACTTTTCTGGCTTTTAGGTTTTAGTACATCTTTTAAATAAAATGATATGATGATGTTTGTCATTTCTGACTGGACACAGACTGATTACTTCTTGTTAGTAGAAAAAGGCAACATTATGAAATGTTCAAGTGTTTTAAAAAGAAAAACTGAACCTAAAACTCTTCCTAGAAAATATTCTATACACGGGAGTCAAACTCCAGTCGTCCAGGGCCGCTGGCTGTCCTTCAGGTTTTTGATGTGCCACAGGTACAAAACACTGGAATCAAATGGATTCATTGCCTCCATCTTGTGTAGATCAGTTATCCAGAGCCTTAATGACCTAATTATTCTGTGCAGGTGCTGCAGCAGCAGTGCATCTAAAAGTTACAGGAGTTTGGCGCCTGTGATTGTGTAAATGGCTCCCCCTTGTGGTTGTGGCTAATCTAACACAGGAACCAAAACTAAAATTGAGGCATGAAGGAAAAAAGCAGCTTTTCCATGTTTGTCCATCCATAGTAACAGCTGAAAACCAGCTTCCATTAAGTTGCTTTTTCCTGCTGCTGAATTTAAATTCTTTTGTTTACAGCTTGTGAGAAGCATTATTCATAAAAAGCCTGTTGACGACCAGGCAGGCGGTGAGGAGTACAACCTGATGTTGTCGGACCAAAATGACAGCATGTTTTTCGGGTCAATAAGATGGCTGAGAGGTGAACATTGCGTTATGTCGGCGATGGCAGATTATACATGTAAATGACTTTGAGCTGCCTTGTTACTGAAATGTGCTCAGTGAAATGATCTTACATTATAATAAATCATTACAGGTGTGAATGCTAATCAGCAGTCGGTGTTAGAGTTCGAGAGCAACCAGAGAGAGAGAGAGTGAAAGAAGGGCAACAGCAAACACCACAGGGAGTCAACTGAAAGTGTGGACTTTGAGAAAAACTGGGAATAATTAAGATGTATGAAAAAAAAGCAATCACACATAGATTTCTTTAGTTGACATTTATCATGTCAAGCTGTGCATTGAGTTCAATGTCAGCTGACGTCACTAACATTTGATCAAAGTTAAACATGCACACACCACTTCCTGGGTACTTGCTTGTATTTTGCTGTATGAAAATATTATATCTTAGACCACTGTGTAGCCAAAATAGCTTGCTTAGCACGGTCAGAGTAGATTGCAACAGACACACACGCAAAATGCACATGACACTGTGTAACATGCAAACCGTGAAGAATCAACCACCAATACACACTGTGAGAGTTAGTGAGTGTAACATCTGCAACAATACTTCAGAAATAACCAACATCAGCAGGTGAGACTGATCAACACGGGAAGTATTTCCAATTATTGATAAGCTCCACAGTGCAACAAAATAAACTCCACATTCTCACACTGATAAATCTGCATGTACCTTTGCATTTGTGTGGTTTGTTATCTGTTAAACTGACGTGTGTTCACTTAGTCACCTCACACAGTTTCAGTGGTTCCTGCAGTTCATCAAACTATGACTTACTCTGCACTCACCTAAAGGTCAGTTTGTTTTCTGAAGGTTTCTCTTACAGCTTTTATTGGTAATAATGCTCTTGTTTCTTCACACATGTTCTAGTGGTAAATTATGCGTTGTGGTTTTGATATTTATTTAGCCTGACAGGACAGATTTCCTGTTGCAGGAGAAAATAGGGCTTCATTTCAGAAAGCAAGGCTGACAAGCTCTGAGCAGAAAACTGATGCTGTGAGTTACTCAGGGTCTTCAGTTTCAGAACAGAGGCTCATTTTAGAAAGCAGCGTTATTGAAAACTCAGAATAAGTATTGTGGTTCGTATGCATAAGCATACTTTTCTGATCTCAGAAAGTGAGGTAGCCATTACCTTGAGTCATGTTAGTGCTGCAGCAGACTCTTGATTCTTTTCAGTGGACACAAAAAATATAAAATCCATTTTTCATGTCCAAATGAGTAAATGAGAAAATCGTCGTCATTGATTTATTTGTGAGGGAAAAAAAACATAATTGCACAAATATTGATTGAAATTGTTAGTATTGGAGTTAATAATCAGATACAAAAATGTTTTGTGAGATTTTTTTGGCTTCTAGCACTATTTTATGGTTAAACACTCCTTTCTGTACCTCAGAAACAAACATAACAGGAGAGTTATGTGACTAAAACAAACATTATTTTGACATCAACTTACATGTTTTGTGAAACTCCTCCAGGATCAGCGCAGTACCAGTCCACATTCTCAGGTGAGAAAGAATCTTCTAGCATAAATGTAATTTTTAGCTGGTGTAATTACACGTCAGATAAGTTAATTTAATCATACGATGTTAGTAATATATGTGTATGTATTCCATCTTAAGCAGTTTCCGGGCCGATCCCCAGTTAGTGATCCTTAAAAAGCCTGACCTGCCAATTCCAATTTTGGCAGAAAGCAACATTTTTTTTGTATGAAAAGTCAATAAATACAGTGATATTTAATATGTAAGTATCAGCCAATCACCAATCTACCCAAAATTGAGGATATAAGAGTAGATGAATTGTCTTGCTGATAAATCATGTCCTGTATGATACATGCAGATAAGATATCACGTAAACAGCCCTGTCACAGATGCAATGACTGCACAGCAGGGGTGCAAATGATCATCTGACTGTTGATGTAAGCAATCCACATGATTAGCAGAAGTAGAGGATCCCCAAACCAGATTTTGCTTAGGACCCCATGGAAACTTGGGCCGGCCCTGGTGCCAGCAGTTCATCCAGTAAATGATGGGTCGCTGGTTCGAGTCTTGCTCCAACCGTCTCTGTTGTCTCTTTAGCCAAACCTGCTGACACTTCAGAGACAGAAACAGGTTTGAAACACCTGTTTCAAACTGCCCAACGGCAGCGTTGGACACAAAGTAGTAACTTTCCATGATCAGCTTGTGAATGACTGAATGGAGTGTGAAGCACTTTGGGGTTTATCACCCAGGTTCAGCTCATTTACCATCTACACTCTGAGCAGCAGTCCTTTAAATGTGACAATATTGCAGGAACCAATCTCTATTTGTGAAGTTCTTTGTTGTCTTTCTTCACCTGTTGTCAATGGAAAATGTTCTCCAAAAACAGATTTCACACCAAGAGGCCTCTTCATTAGACGAAAGTGACATGTCCAACGAGAGCTTTGAGGAATCCAACATGCACAATTACATCTTCGATTTTACTGTGTATGCACACGTGGGGCAGCTGAGAGCTGCAAGCATTGGACTTCCTTTGACTGTAATTGCCATCTTTGCAGTTTATCTTCTGGTGAGTAAATAATAAGAGCAGTGAGCAGTCCTGATTCTGGGTGTTTGTCAGATTAAAATAATAAATGATGTTTTGAGCCCAATCTGAACTCTAACCCGTTTACAAGACATATCTGTGAACATATTTAAATTTCCCTGCAGATAAAAAAAGATCACGTCACTCCAGTCTACATCATCAACCTTCTTCTTTCTGATCTGATTCAGCTCTGCTGCATGGTTGCAGAGAACTTAGTTAATGGTAATCTTATCGTCCATTACACCTACTTTTATGCTTTGATGGTCAGCATAGGATTCATGGTGTGTGTCTCTTTGGAAAGGTGACTATCTGATTATACTTATCTAATTTTTCAGATATAATACTTTATAAATGTGACGTTCTTCATAGATGTCAAATATTTATTTCCTGTCCTGCAGGTATTTAGCCGTTGCCTGGCCGTTGTGGTATCGCTTCAGGCGAGACATCAAGACTTCTCTGGTGGTTTGCATTGTCATCTGGATGCTTCCTACTTTCTTCATCCTTTTCATTTTATTAAAGTTGGGTTTTCAGGTGGTCGGATTCTTCTGTGCCGTCTTCCTCATCCTGCCATTGCCTCTGCTGACGTTCTTCCTGGTTGGGACCATTAAAGCCTTGTCTGCAGCCCACAGTGTGTCTGCTGATGAAAAACGGAGAATCTTGGCTATTCTGGTTGTTGTGCTCCTTACTTACACAGTTTTATTCTTTCCCAGTATCATTTGGTTTTTGGTCAATGAAACCAGAAATCTGAATGTTTTTAGCAATATAACATTCATATTGCAGTCGTTTAGTCCTCTTGCTGATTTGACTATGTACCTTTTCATCAGGAAAAGTGCAATAGACAAACTTCTGATCTCAATTTGTTGTTGCAAAATGTCTGATGAGCAACAGAGGGGCAACACCAGTACAGACAGGCCAGATGTTTCGACAGACCAGGAAGTATAAATATATTTTTTCCAGGCTGTTGCTGATTGAGAATGTTTCTATCAGACCTGTTGCTACACCCCTAGAAACTTTAGAATTACGAATATTTGAGACTTTTTAAATGTTAGATGTTAGGGAAACCATGTACATTGCTCATGGTGTTAAAAATGCTGGGATATTTCAGGAAAAAATTAAAAATGCTTTTTCACTTGATTGAAGAAAGTCCTGCTTTCATCTGCCAAGAATATTCTCTCTCTGGATCCACATTTTGACTGGGGCGAGCTTCAGCTTTCAGCAGGACAACCACCCTAAGCATAAAGCCAGGACGACATTAGAATGGCCCAGTCAAAGTCCAGAACTAAACCTAATCGAGAATCTGTGGCAATGTCTGAAAACTACTGTTCACAAACACTCTCCATCTAATCTGACTGAGCTTGTGCTGTTTCACAAAGAATTGTCGAAACTTTCAGTCACAAGATGAGCAAAGTTGGTAGAAAAAACCTTGAAGACTGACAGCAGGAACAGCAGCAACATCTGGTTCAGCAAAGTAATGACTCATGTGGGCGGCATCTTGTTTCACATCAGTTATTCATAGGATTTCCTCAATACTGAGCTTTTTTTCTTCAAAAAAGCACTAAGGCTAATGCATTAACTAACTTTAATTTCAAAATGTTGATTAATGCCATTTGTCCCTAAACCAGCTCTAAACAGCTGAAGTTGCAATACAGCAGTTTTCTTGTCAGCTGGCAGATGCCAACATTTCTCTGGCTGGAGCCTTTTGACCAAATCTGGCTAAACAAAAGCTACATTTTACACTTATTACATTATCAATTCCTATAATATTGTTCATCATTTTTGGTTTCTTGTCTGTTTGTAACCTTGGTCCAGGTAAAATGAATGGATGTGTTTAATGTTAGAAAACTAAACATTGCTGTACTTTCCAAACTGTTGCTTTAACAAACTCTTCAGCTGATCCAGAATGTTGCAGGGAAAGAGAGTCTGATTATCCTTTGCAGTGCATTTTCATCCATTTGCTTCTTTAAAAATTGATGGCAGTATATAACAGCACTGGTTGCATGTTAAGTTCTTTATTCACATACAAAGCAGAATTTGTAGGGCAGAGTTTTAAAAAGCAGTTTCCTTTTTGGTGGTGAGACACTGACACCAAACCATACCAACTTTATTTATAGAGCACTTTAAAACAACCACAGCTGATACAAAGTGCTGCACATAAAATAGATAAAAACAAATAAAAACTCTTACAGTTTAAAACAAACAAACATACAATGTAAAACTAGACACAACGCTGGCTTTCAAAATGAAGCCGAAAACATGAATGACAGAAAGAGTTTCAACTCATTAAGTCTTTATTTTGTGGATTTTATTATTCTACATTTGTTGTACATTTTTATGTAGCTTTTATTATGGATTTAACTTTTTTTCCTTCTTTGTCTGCCATATCTTAAAGCTGTTGTTAATGTTGACAAATGAATTGTATATGAACGTTATAAGCCTTCATCTTAATTTGTTGATATCTTGGTTTTGCTTTTTTTTGCATAGTTTGAGTTTCACTTCCACTTTAAAATGCTGCCCAACTAATCATGAATTAAATTGTTGCCTTGTTTTATCAAGATGTCATTATTTATTGTGTCTTGCAAATTAGGTTTATTGTGATGTTCAGTTTTTGTCTCAGAAAAGAGAAAAAAACTGAATCTCAAATGCAGGTAAAAATTCACCCAGTCATCTGAGATGTGAGGTTGTTGTACTTTAAACATCTGAAAGAGAAATAATCTCATTCAGAAACACATTTTCTATCACAAGATATATTATTGTTATTAACTGGATGCAAAGGTATAAAACTAAAGGTAAGATGAGAATTAAATTTGACACAAGTTGGTTCATGATGTGAGTTTAAAAAAAATTGTGATCTTAGAAGATTCTGTCTTCCTTTTTCTACAGAAAATAGAGTTATCACATCATCTGTGTGTTCATTTTTATGTACAGAGTGCAGAATGTTGAGTTGAGAAGGATAACTGGCTGAAAACAGGAATCATTTCTGGACATTTAAACTTCGAAAGATACAAATATATTTGAATAGTGAGTTTATTGAGTTTAATTTCATGGAACTGCGATGTAAAATTAGAAACAGCATTTACCTTCATGCCAGTATAATAAGGTAAAAACTGAGCACATACTTTACATTTGGATAATTTTGCACTCATAACTTTCAAGAATTACAATGTGTTTATCTTTACCTTATGCTTTATTTTTGTACGAAAAAAGATTCCTTACAAAAGAACTTTTCTTAGGATTTCTCCTTATTTATTTCTTACAATTAATAAATAAGTTCAAGTCTCCATTATTCATTATTTTGCTCTTGCAGGTTTGATATTGAAGAATGGAAGATTCCCTCATCAATCAGAACATAGCCTCTGCTTCTGACACTAAATAAGACAAAGTGAGAACATCCAAGCCCAAAGTGACCATTAGTGATAGAACCACTGGGCTTCTTCACACATAGTCATAATTATAAACTAAATATCAAATGTGGAAGATGTCATTTTGTGAAACACTTCTACCTTCACTTCCTCTATGTTCAGAACCCGTTTCATCTGACCACATCTCTTTTCACTTCAGAAGCAGGAGGAGAACAAATAAAGTTTTTATAGTAAAATAGTTATTTTACTATAAAGTAGTTCAGGTCTGTTCATTAAAAGCAGTGCCATCCTTTCTAGTGCATTAGCTGCAGAGAGACTAACATAAAGCGAGACGCTTCAGTGTCTCTGTTTAAAAAAAAAGTTTAAAAACCACATCTTGAGTCATAGCCCACCAGCTAACATCACACAAAGGAGGGTGGAAGAACCACCATGGTGATGAAGCAATGTTCATCAATATTAATGTGAAACGTTTCCATGACTCAATTTTTATTTTTTAAAATTAAAGAAAACACTTACAGATGTGGAGCTGCTTGCTGACAGCGGAGTCCCAAAACATGAGTGGTTTAAATTGTTGAATGCGAGTTAGAAAAGGTAACACTAGTAATTTAAGTTAAAATCCATTTTCTTTTGTTAAAAACATTCAAAGGATATTTCCTGCTAATTGGTGCTGAACTAAATTCAATTGAAACAAGTTGGTTAATGAAAACTGAAACATTTTGTTGTGATCTTAGAAGATGTTTTCTTCCTGCTGATAAAGAAAACAGACTTATCACATCATCTCTGCGCCCATTTCCTTTAATACAGAAGTTAGGCGTCATTGTTCAGACGTTCGTTTGTAAGCAGAATGTTCAGACCGCTGAGATGAGAAGGTTAACTGGCTAAGAACAGGAACCGTTTCAGGATCTTTAAACTTTGAAAGGTAAATATAATTTTTCATTGTACAGAAAAAAAAGAGATTAATTTAAATATTAAATATTTAATTTAATATTTCTCTGAAAAATATATTTAATTTAATAGAACTGCTTAAACATCATTGTTTTCAAGAATTTTTAAAATCTAGAACATGTTTTATTTTGTACTTAAAACACTAAAAATGTTTATATTCTTGGCAAAACATCCTTTCCAGGATTTTCCCTTAAAACAGAAAATGAATACTAGGTTTCTGAGCTAAGCTAAGAGAAAATGAAGTCTCTGTTATTCATTATTTTGCTCATGCAGGTTTGATATTGAAGAATGGGAGATTCCCTCAGTCACAACGTCTTCAACTCCACTGATGGATCCAACAGAACCAGTAACAGTTCTGATGAGAACCAGGTCTTGTACGCGGTAAATTGTATCACTATTGTCATTGGATTCCCTTTGACTCTGGTGGCCATGTTTGCTGTTTTATTAAAGGTGAGTTCTTGGTAACTTATATTTAGATGTATATATTTTGTATTAATATTACTTCTCTAGGAATGCTTATTCAAAAATAATAATAATAACAAAACAAATTGTGGAAAAAGAATCAAATAATTGTTGCAGGAAGTTGGAAGGAAATCTTCTGTTTGTTTTCCTTTTGGTTCCCCTGCAGGTGAAAGAAGATAATGTTGCTCCAGTTTATATCTTCAACCTTCTGCTTTCTGATGTCATCCAGTACTGCAGCAGAATTCCTATAATATCTCGTACTTCTAATGAGTCGTCTTTTGTGCCTTCGATTTTGCCATTACAGCCAGCATTGGATTCATGATGTGTGTCTCCCTGGAAAGGTAAATATCTTTTTATATGTATATTGTTGTTTCTGTCGTTGCGTCAATAATGTCTGACTGTGCAAATCTTTTATTCCAGGTATCTGGCCATTTCCAAGCCGCTGTGGTACAGATTTAGACGAAACATCAGGACATCTGTGTTGGTCTGTGTCATGATCTGGATCCTTTCTTTGTTTTATAATCTTAGCCTGTATCTCCTTTTGGAGTTTCATACTGTAAAAGTCATCCAGGCTGCTGGTCTCCTCCTCCCTCTGCTCTTGTTCATCTTCTGCCTGGTCGGGACCATTAAAGTTCTGTCTGAAGCTCGCAGTGTCTCTGCTGATGAAAAACAGCGAATTGTTTCCATCCTGGTTGTGGTTTTGTTAATATATGTTCTGCTTTTCATCCCCAACATGATGTATCTGTTGAAAAACAACTGTGAAAATTCAATCTTCTGGACTGTGGTTACGATTGGACTTTTTCTCAGTCCTCTTGCAGACTCGTCTTTGTATATTTTTCTGAGGAAAGCTGCATTTAACCAGCTTGGGACCTCATTGTGTTGCGTAAAGTCTGAGAATAAAGAGATCAACATGTCAGCTTTTTGAACTACAGGAGCTTAGCTGCCGTCAATGCACAAATATCATCACTTTCTTAAAGTATTCTTATGGATGATTTGTGAAATAGATTGCTACTTTTTTTTAATAATCTTTTATATTTCCTCTGAAAAACTAAAACTCAACAACCTGCTTGATTTTCAGAGTTGTCTCTCCTTCTGTATCTCAGACATTTTAAAATTGTTTGTCTTTGCTTTCCTCACATTGATTGTAGCCAAGCACAATATTTAGAAAGTGTCGAA